GCCCGGTGGTGTGGCTTACAATAATACATGGACCGAGCTGCTCATAGCACATCAGTGGTCTTTCCTGATTGCATGTCATTCGAGAAATACTCTTCTTACTGACACCCAGGATGCTGAATGATTTTGCATTTGAATTAGTTCAGTCATTTTAAATATGACATAACGTCGCAACGCAATTTTTGCATTGATAACCAAACACTACAAAGTGTGAAGCAAAACCATGAGCACGGGACCAAAAAACCATTTAATAGCCGCGGATCTTTCCTACTTAGTGTAATTTTGCCTGCCACCTCCACTGAGCAGTTTTACTGTTTTAGTGCATTTCAGTGCTAGCCAGTGCTCTGTGACTAGTGCAATGGTAACGCCAATCACCACGCATGAAAAGAATTTTCCATAAAATTGGACCTGCTTATACAATTAACGTTACAAATATGCCTAAGGTAGACGATGTTATGCACAACTTCATTTATACCACCTTGTTCTTGACTTGATGAGCAAAAAATTAGCTGCTTCTACGAACGCCTAGTTTTGACTACTATGGGATTGATGTTGAAGAGTTGGGACCATTTTATTGGCTATCAAATTTAAGGTAGGATTTTAGGCGAATTTAAGCTTTTGATAAAAATGGAAAGCCACTTGATGACTATAATTGTTACTCGGTAACTAAAGTATCTTGGTTGAGTAGGTCGGGAGAAGTGGCCTGGATGTTATTCAGGCATATTTGCTATTCAAGATAATTGGATAGTAACCAAGCCAATATTTTCTGGACAAAATTAGTAAAGAAAGAAGAATTCTTCCCCTGAATTCTACTCAAAATCATTTTGTTGACAATGTCTTTGTGCAAATCTAAGTCTATTACCGAAATTGAATTAAACATGGAACATTAGGTATACCTGAACACAAGCTAGAAAACTTTGTCACAATTCTTACGTACTATTGCTACACTGGAAAGACTTGATCTAAACATAATTATTGTTGCGGCTGGAGATTACTTTCATTAGCAATTAAGCAGTAAAGTAATCAAATCTGAATTACAAATCAAGGCAAACCATACTTTGGAACGTGTGTGGAAGCGAAACTCCAAAAAAACCCTCTTGCCGTCCTGAGAGAAGATGTTTCCCAATGTCTGAGAGATCTATGCTTACACGGTGCCATTAAAGCAGGTATTATCTGTACGTTTTTTGAAAGCGTTTGATGTAGGGTACTGACGTCAAAATACGGAAAATCGCATAATAGTAAATAGCAATTTTGTTAGACAAATATACGTTAGAAGAGCCATTTGAATCTGACAAGCAATCAAAGGAGACTACTAATATGCTATGAGCAGCAC